AACATCCACAGAAAAGCAGTATTTAAAACACAAATTAAAGTAGACAACCCAAATATATACAGAATAAAACATGAATGACAATACAAAAGGTGTGGGCTTCACCCCACCACAAATAAAAGCATTTGTCCTCAAATGCAAGTAATAAGTCTCCAAAAGTAGATGCTAGTAATTAAGAGAGAACGGTAGAGAAAGGTCCTGTCTACGCATTTGCTTCATCTTTCGAAGCATTGTTGCCTGCTGCATTAGTCTGAAACTCGACAATGGCACCCGGGTTGTCATTTTGGGTTTCATTGTGTTCCTTTGTTCTAGCTTCTGCAGCGACTTTAGCTTCAACCATTCTATCCACATCATGGGCCGCCAAAAAGGAATTTGCAGCTGTGTATAATCTGCGTCTCCATGAAGGCATGGTGGGATCAATGGGAATCCTCCCACTGGCACTTGCTTTCTTACTCTCCCTTCTTTCTTTGGTCAGTTTTGCTATCTTTTCGTCTCTTTTGAAATCTGTTGCTCTTACATGTCGGGGTGGCATGTCTCTTCCTACAACTTTTGGTTTTCCCATTTCTTCTACAGTAGTTGGTGACGTGCTCACTCACTTAGGTTAGTTATTGAAATCCGCGCATAAAGAAACTAAGAGTGCAGGCAGAAAGGGTGAATTCAATGGCCTCTAGGCGCGTCACCGAAAATATTCAGCGATAGTAGGTTTATCGCCGATTCTTACAGATTAAATAACCCAAATTTGCTCTTAATGAAAGGCGACAAGAGCAGTTAGGCGAATCACTGAGTGATTTAGCAAGCTAGGTCCGGCTCGCCAACTGACTCAACACGTCTATGCTCTACGCGATTTCCAGCCTCAACCTCGCAACACTGGTCAAATAAACTCAAGTCCATATAGCACAAACTCATAATAAAACCCATAATAGTATTACAGCCCGCAGTAAATTAATTCAAATTAGAGCAAAGTTGATTCGGATTCTACCAATTACGTAAAGATTACTGAATGGCATTCAATGATGTATGAAATGCCATCAACGCGGAGATTCAGCCACGACTTGACAATATCCACACTATGCAAATGAGTACAATTTTACTAAATTAAACGCAGGGTTTGAATCACCAACTTTTAGTGCCGAATTGAATCCTAATGAAGTGTGACGTACCAATGAGATCCAACTCCGCGCATAATTTGACACCTACAATACTTTAGATTTGCAAGAAATATAAAACTAAAGTGCAGGTGTGGGTTTGGTAGGATGAAGAAATGAGAGAAAATGAATGAACCAGAATATTTAAACATGTGGATTGCAAAAATCGTCCAGTTTCTTCCCATTCGGCGATGTACATTGGGTACGCTCATTCACTTGACGAAGCGCCAAGTGTTTAGTCTCTTTGCCAAATGTAACAGGACTCGCAACTCATGTGAAGATCCCACTGGCGGTCTATATTACAATCGCTAACATGGTTGGCGATCCACCATTAATTTTCTACTGAACACCGAGTTTTTACAAAATCCCAGCTGACATTGCCTTGAGTCACTCGACGAAAAGGATCGTGTTCGTCGATGTCATTGGCGATCCGCCAACTGGACCTGTTGTTTGCCTCCATATATTATTTCATTCGCCTCCCTTGCTCCAACCTGTGCAAACTACACACCATTATTTTCTCAAAGTAAAACAAAGCAATAAAGGGTTTTGGGTTGCCTCCCAAACAACGCCTTAGTTAATGTCGTGGCACGACGCTAGTCCACCTTCAACTCTCACTCTTAGGGTTAGCCATAGTTTCACTAAGCAAGCCCCCATGCTATCTTGGATTTAGGTGACACGAGATATGACCCATTTGGGTCTCCAACTTCTTGATTGAAACTGAATGAGAGGTAACGGTCTGGATGAGGGTGGAAACATCCTCTTTCATGTCTTTCAGCATTTTGTCCGACCCTTCAACTTTGTTGAGGATGCGCGAGAGCATATCCTCAGACCTACTACCCTCCGAGTCCTTTGGCTTTTGGCGTTCGTAGGGGGGCACATATCTGTCTTTCTCCCCATCTTTCCAATAAGGATTTTGGTCTCTCCATTCTCTATCCTTTCATCATTCATCTCTAACCCAACCTTGATTTCCACCCTACCTTGGGTAGTTTGATCGATAACCACCACCTTCGTTGGCTAGAAAGTTTACCTCTTCATTATACAAGGCGTCGAAACTTGCCTCTTTAGGAATTGCGCACCCGACCCCTACAACATTGACACCACGGGTACCAGTCCCCATGACATTTTTGGATAGAATATCAAGTTGTGTCATGATCTTGGCCATATTTTGATCTCTCTCATTGTCTTTTTCTAACTGCTCCTTAGATAGCTGAAATGTGACCGGTGAGACTTGATCTTCGCGGGTGTACCACGCCTTGTTGATGGTTGTCATACCATCAAAGAGTTGAACTGCCACTGTGTATGGTTGCTGCATTAAGCCCCCGGATGAAACCACGGAACATCGATGGGGTCCGTAGACCTCTGCAATAGACCTTTTTCTGCAGATTTTGCTTTTCATCCCTGCACATGTAGTAACCGTTAGGCCTTTCTTTTTACATTTTCTGGACACTTTTTAGACACGGACCCTATGATTTATCTAGCCAACACAAAAACATAAATAAACTACCAATTTAAAGAATTACATAGAATCAAATAAACAAAAAAAACTCCTAAATCGAAAAGAAAAACCTATAGTTGGCTAGATTGTACATCTTGGGTTGCCTCCCAAGCAACGCTTGATTTAACGTCGCGGCACGATGCATGCCTATTGATTACTCAGACTTCATCAAAATAGTAGGCCTCAAACACTTTTTGCACATTTTCCTCTTTTCCCAGATAGACCTTGATCCTCTGCCCGTTCACCTTGAACCTTGTTCCCTCATTGTTTTCGAGCTCAACCGCTCCATGTGGGAACACTTGCGTGACTATGAATGGCCCGGTCTACTTGGACTTGAGCTTGCCAAGAAACAAGCACAACCTAGAGTTGAATAGAAACACCTAATCACCCACAACAAATTCTCGCTTTTCGATCTTTTGATCATGATACTTCTTCATCTTCTCTTTGTACAAGGCTTAACTTTCGTAGGCTCTTAAGCGGAACTCATCAAGCGCATTCATGTCATTTACTCTCTGATTCGATACGGCGCCCCATTCCAAATTGAACTTCTTTAGCGCCTACATAGCCTTATGGTCTAGCTCGAATGGCAAATGGCAAGACTTCCCATATACAAGTTTGTAGGGGGACATACCTGTGGGAGTCTTGAATGCAGTGCGATAGGCCCATAGAGCATCATCAAGCTTCCTTGACCAATCGTTTCTATTCGCATTCACAGTCTTAGCCAAAATCTGCTTGATCTCTCTGTTGGACACTTCAACTTGCCCACTAGACTGCGGATGGTAAGGAGTGGCTAAATTTTAGCGGACGCCATGTTTCTCAAGTAGTGCCTTGAACAACTTATTACAGAAGTGGGAACCTCCATCGTTGATAATCGCCCTAGGTGTACCAAATCTGGAGAAGATATTCTTTTTCAGGAATGCGATGCGGTGACACTTTTACCTTCATTGTTGGAAAGCACAATTGCTTCCACCCACTTCGACACATAATCAACCACAACAAGAATATACTTCATCCCATGTGAAGTCACAAATGGACCCATAAAATCAATGCCCCATACATCAAATAACTCTATCACCAATATCAGATTCATAGGGAGCTCTTTTCTCTTTGAAGTCCCTCCTTCTCTTTTGCAACAGTCACAAGGCTTAGCGAAATCATGAGCATCTTGGTGGATGGTAGGCCAGTATTACCCACACTGCAAAATTTTATGCTCAGTCTGAATACCACTATGATTCCCACCAACAGGTGATGAGTGATACACCTCTAGTATACTCAACATCTGAACCTCGGGTACACAACGATGAATAATCCCATCAGCACAACTACGGTCCAAATAAGGCTTATCCCAAAAGAACTTCTTCACATAATGCATAAACTTTTTCCTTTGGTGAAACGACAAATCCGATGGCACCAAATCACATGCCAAGTAATTAGCAAAGTCTGCGAACCAAGGAATCAGATCATGAGAAGCAGCCAATACATGTTCATCCGAAAAAGCATCATTAATTTCAGCCCCATCTCCTAGCTATACCATAGCGCCTTCCTCTAATCTGGACAAGTGATCGGCAACCTAATTTTCTGTCCCTTTTCTATCTTTCACCTCAAAGTCGAGCTCTTGTAGCAACAACACCCATCTAATCAACCTCGGTTTTGCATCCTTCTTAGCCATCAAATACCTCAATGCAGAATGGTCAGTATGTTCTGTGACCTTAGTACCAAGCAAGTAGGATCGAAATTTCTCGAATGCGAAAACCACCGCAAGAAGTTCTTGTTCAATCACTGTATAGTTCTTTTGAGCCACATTTAGAGCTTTGCTGGCATAGTAAATAGGATGCAGAATTTTCTCTCGCCTCTGTCCCAATACCACACAAAGCGCCACTCCACTCGCATCACGCATTACCTCAAACAGGTGTCCCCAATACGGTGCAATAATGATAGATGCAGTAACCAACTTCTCTTTCAACTCTCCAAATGCTATCAGACAAGCATCATCAAAATCAAACCTATACTCCTTTTTGAGCAGTTTGCACAATGGATGTGCAATTTTGGAGAAATCCTTGATGAACCTCCTATAGAAATCTGCATGCCCAATAAAATTTCTAACACCTTTAACAGAGATAGGTGGTGGAAGCTTTTCTATTACCTGTACTTTCACTCTATCAACCTCAATACCCTTCTCAGAAATCCGATGACCCAGAACTATCCCCTCTTTCACCATGAAGTGGCACTTTTCCCAATTAAGCACAAGATTGTATTCTTCACACCATTTAAGTAATTCGGTCAGATGGTCTAAACAATGATCAAAAGAGTCACCTACCACAGAGAAATCATCCATAAATACCTCAATAGTGTCCTCCACCATATCAGAAAATATCGACATCCATACAACGCTGGAAGGTCACTGGTGCATTGCACAACCCAAATGGCATCTGTTCAAAGGCGAAAGTCCCATAAGGGCAAGTAAAAATGGTCTTCTCTTGGTTTTTCAGAGCTATGGAAATTTGATTGTAGCCCGAATAACCATCAAGAAAACAATACCAACCCTTACCATCAAGTCGGTCCAACATCTGATACATGAACGACATAGGGAAGTGGTCTTTTTTTGTCCAAGCATTTAATTTCCGATAGTCCATGCAGACTCTATATCCAGTCACGGGCCGCATCGGAACAAGTTTGTTTCTCGCATTCAGAACCACAATCATCCCACCTTTTTTAGGCACACAATAAATAGGACAAACCCAAATACTATTTGCAAATAGGATAAATAACTCCAACATCCAACCACTTAATGATTTCCTTTTTCAGTACCTCTTGCGTAGGTGGATTTAGTCTTCTCTGGTGCTAAATACTAGGCTTGTGATTTGGCATGAGTTGGATATTATGAGAACAAATGCCAGGAGGGATCCTAATAATGTCCGCAATAGTCCACCCAATAGCCTGCTTGATCCTCTTCAACACGGAAACCAATGCCTCAACTTGTGTCACATTCAAATCTGCCGCAATGATGACCGGTAAAGTACCATCTCTCCCCAAGAATACATACCTCAAATGTGATGGTAGAGCCTTAAGATCCAATTTCAGAGCCTCATAAACAGACAGTCTTGCGGGTGAAGAGTCGCGATTCTTCATGTCTAATTCCAATCTCTTTGGTTTTGAACGGAATTCGAGCCTATCAAGTGCAGCGACCAATTCATCAAAGTCGTCAATACCACCACCCTCAAAATTCATCATTACCACTGCTAGTGCATCAATACCCAACCTCTCTTCAATAGACACCTCATAACCACTCTCTACAATATGATTCACCACTGATACTGACTTGAGCTCACTACTCTGCTTCATGGATCTACAGATGTTGAAAGTTACCTATTCACTATTCAATCGAAATTTCATCTGCCCTTTCTCCATATCGACCAAGGCGCGCCCAGTGGCAAGGAATGGTCTCCCAAGGATAATGGGAACCTTAAAATCAACCTCACAATCAAGTATCACAAAATCCTCCGAAAAGATAAAAGACTCCACTTTCACTAGTACATCTTGGAGCACACCAATGGGCCTCTTCACAGCTCTATCAGCCATGAGCAAACGCATCGCGATCGGTTTTGGATCCCCTAAACCCAACTTCTTGTAAATAGACAATGACATCAGATTAATGCTAGCACCCAAATCGCACAACACCTTCGCAAAATGTAGCAACCCGATGGTACATGGAGTAGTGAAGGCACCATGATCCTCTTTCTTCAGCACAAGGGACCTTCTAACAATAACACTACAATATTGCAACCTATCATCATCTTCAAATCTCATGGACCTTTTCTTCGTCACCAAATTTTTCATAAACTTCACATACCCAGGCATTTGCTCCAAAGCTTCTATCAACGGAACATTGATGGACAATTGTTTCAACATAGCGATGAACCTGCGGTATTTCCCTTCTTCATTGTTCTTAACTAACCTCTGTGGGAATGGAGATGGAGGTCTAGGCATTAGGACAACTTTTTGGGTTATCTCTGCTTCCTTCTCTGTAGCATTCTTGGACTCTCCTGTAACCTCAATCTCTTCATCATCTTTCTCAACCAAAATTTCCACCTTAGACATCATAGGTGGATTAATGGTTCGCTTACCCACTCGAGTAGTGACTACCATACAATGCCCATTATTATTCGCATTTTGGATGGTGTTGCTAGGAAGTGTGCCAGGCTGACGTGGGTTTACTGTAGTAGACAACTGATTCATCTGTTGCTCAAGTTGCTTGATCGACACTGAATGGGTATCAACTTTTTGACCAATACCAGACAAGTCATTTCACATCTCCTTCACATTCTCATCAATCGAATAAAACCTCTTCGTCATCTTTTGCTTCATATCCTCAATCCGTGACATACTACCCCCAGCTTCCCTAGTGCAAGATTCCCAATTTTGAGAAGGAACATAGGGTCAACCTTATCATTTCAGTTGCCATAGTTGTTCTGGTTGTAGTTGTGGTCGCGGTTGTAGTTCCCATCACGGACATATTAACCCTATCGGTTTTAGTTGCCATAGTTCCGCCCTTGGTGCCACTTTTCCGAGTTGGAACCTTGGGCGTTGGTTCGTAAGCCCTCCCCCCCCGTTTACCTTATAAGTATCATCTTCATAATAACATTCCACAACCGGTGGTGGATTCCTAGTCAAGTAATTCACATCATTTACCTTTTCGGCACCTCCGCTCACATGCTTCAACACCAACCCCAGTTCGGTCCTCATCTGAGCCATCTCTTCATGAATGTCATCAGCAGATTGGTTGGGTGTAGATTGAACTGCAAATGTGCTCTTCCCAGTGTCTGACTTTCTAGTGCTCCAGGCTTTGTTTTTCCGGGAGATCTTCTCCAATTTCTCAGTGATCTGCCCAAAAGTGCACTTACCATATGAACCTCCAGCGATAGTTTCAAGCACCACCTTACTATTGTCATCCTGACCCCTGTAGAAATATTCCTTTAGCAAATCATCATCAATGCGGTGGTTTGGAACACTTCTGATGAAGGTAGTGAACCTATCCCACGAACTACTGATAGACTCTCCAGGTAGTGCCACAAATGTGTTGAGTTTATCTTTGTGGTTCAACTTCTTTGACATTGGGAAGTACTTTGCCATGAACACTTTATGCAATTGATCCCATGTGTGAATGGAGTTATATGGAAGCTCAGAAAACCACACAACAACATCACCGATTAATGATAGAGGGAAGACTCTCAACCTAATGATATCCATGTCCAATTCCGGTCGACCCACGCAACTCTTGCAAGAACTCCTCAACTTGGCCATGTGCCTATACGGATCATCCGATGCCATACCAGAGAACAAACCCCTCGTTGTAAGCATCTTCATCAGACTGCTAGTCACTACGAATGTATGCCCCAGAGGTAGAGGAGGTAGAACAATAGGCTCTTCGGATTCAACGGTATTGAACTTGACCCTATAGTTATCACGCAACATTGGTTCTGGTGGATTCTGTACCCTCAATGCATCTCCAAGTAATTTTCACCCTGAACCTGAACATTCTCATTATCAACCCTAGGAGATTACAACTCAACTCCATCACCTAGATTTCCTCCGATAGGATTGATTGGAACTCCTTGACTATTCATCCTTTGCAAAGTTCTGTTCAATTTTGGGTCGTAAAGAGTCAGTGGTTCACCTTGACTCCGTGTACTTGGAATACACTAGAGTAGGAACCTAAGAGAAAAAAAAACAAAAGAAAAAGTAAAATTAGGAAATAATTGACTAAAGTTCAATAATGTAGTTAAACGTAATCTAAAAGCCGTATTCCCCGGCAGCGGCGCCAAAATTTGATATGCTCAAATTACACCTCCCTAAAGAAGTATAAGAGATCGTTATCAAGTAAACAACCCAACTTGAAGGTTGGGGTCGTTCCCGCGATGAATATTTAGACTTAAAATTAACTAACTATTATATTCGTTTAGTCAACTTATTTCCGAGACAACTAAGTAAAGAGGGGGGGGGGTGGGGTTATGTAACAAATAACTGATTGTAGTTTAGAGGACAAGTGAGCAAGATTCAAACTTCGATTGTTATCAATGAGAGAGAGAAACTAGGGTGTACGTGTTCCCCATAAGCTCATAACGCATTAATCCTAGTAATAGTAATCCCTTCCTAGTGTATCAAATGCAAAGTAGTAAGTTATGTATCTCTTAATCCTTGGTCCGACAAATAGAAAATTTCACCCCCGCACCTTGGTCCGGCTATGTGTATAATTTACTAACCTTTACCTTTACCTCATATTAGACATCACATCAACGTATGGCTTAGTTTTCACCCTCACACCAATTGACATTAGACTATTAAATAGTATCACACTAAATCTATGTTGATAATTTTTTTCTTATTAACTACTTCCTTGATCCGGCAACTAGCAACAAGGCGAGTTCTAATGTTGCGCACCGCTAAAAAGACTTCTAGACGAAAGAATTATCAATGCATGCAATAAGACTATTCAAGAATTACTCAGTTACTATTCATACATTGTTAATCGCTCATGGTTTCCACAACCCTAGTTGTGGATTTAATTACCATAATAGCAAGAACACCATTCAGAATTTTAGAAGAAGAATTCATGAACTTACGTAATGAGTAGAAGAAACCCAGAATCTCTAATTGAAATACAAAGAAAGAATCTTTATAAACCAAAAATAGGAAATCAAATTGCTATTGTTTGCAAGTTAATTCCCAAGAACACACCAAGAATTCAAAGTTTACAATAAAGTCTAACCCCCAAAAACGAGGTTTACATACCCTATTTTATAGAAAACATAGTCCCAAACAAAAAAGGACATGAAATACAAAAATAAACTGCTGGAAGCGGCTTCAATCGACGAGACTAACCTATGGACCGTAGATCGACCTACGGTTCGTAGGTCCCTTCTTTGGCTCAGGACTTAGACACTTTCTCAAAAGCTTGGAACCTTCAACTTTCAAATGCAAATGACGGACCTGCAGAACGGACCGTAGGTCGACCTATGGTACATGGGTCCCCTCTCGTGGCTCCAGACTTAGACCTTTTCATCAGGTACTGGAACTCAAACGTTCTCATACTAATGACGGACGTGCAGGACAACCTGTAGGTCGACCTATGGTCCGTTAATGGCTTTCGTGGTTCCACACTTGGTCAGATTTCCTTGATGCTCCTTCGCGAAACCAATCTACGGAGCGTAACTTGACCTACGATCCATAGGTCACCTCTCTAGATGGCTCCTTTTACAGAAATTCAGCTGCCATCTCTCTCAACCTCGTCCGAAACTATTTCCGGCAACTATAGCACAATAATCATTAGTTGTAATACAAAATGGCCCTAGACACACACAACTCTTAAGTGAAATGTATTAAAAATACCGTAAACTCACGGTATATGAGATACATTCAATCTTTTTCAAGATTCTTCTTCAAGGTAAGTTTTTATCCCAGAATTTAATTCTTTCCAAGTCAAATTCCTCCATACAATTATGAATCACTATTGAAAATAATAATTCTTTACCATAGAGATTTTAGGAAACTAATTCAAGAATCTCAAGAAAGGTTTTCTTGACTGTTTACCTTCAAGCTAGGGTTTCAAGACTTCTAATGACGTTCTTATTCAAGATTTTTCAAGAGCCTTGTTCTTCCAGGCTATAAGGTATGTAAGGCTATCATAATATTGGACTAGTTTGTACTCACGCCCTATATCTACTTTAAAATCAGTAAAAGAGTAATCTATGGTTCTATCCCTAGATTTGAGTATTCTTGAGATAAGTTGATTTTGTCTTCTTGATTCTTTTAAAAATTATATTCCTAATTATTGAGTTTCTATATTTTTACTGAGATCCTTGAGTTTATTTGTTATGTCTATATTTCAGCATGAACCCTATATTGAGTTGTAAATCTTGAGAAGCTTTTGAAGTCAACACTTGAGTTTTAAGCTGAGTTTTTCAGAAAGTAAAGATGAGTTATGAGGAAAGAGTTTCTAAAACATGATTAGTATGACAATCGACTATGATATCAATGTTAAGCAGTATGGTATCTAGTTATGTCATCAATGTTTAAGCAGTATGGTATCTAGTATGCCATCAATGTGTAAGAAGTATGGTATCTGGATATACCCTCAATGTTTATGTAGTATGACTTCCCGAGGCATCAATGGTCATATTAATATATGATTTTGAGAAAAAGTTTTCAAGTATGAATTGAGTAAGAGTATAAAGGGAATATGTATTTCTAAATGTATCAGTTTTTACATTAATAAAAGAGAAACTTTGATTTCTTAATGAGTTATGAGTTCAAAAGATATTTCTAGAGCAGTTACTTCTTTTAAGAGGGTAATTTGAGCAATTATCTCAAAATAGAATAAGTGTTGTGTTTTTAAACATATGAGCATGAGTTATATATATTATTGGGAGTAGTATTGAGCACCAATATGAGGATGAGTTCAGACAACTCAAAATCCTCATAAACCATGTGTGCCAACATGGGTAAAACATCATACTTTTTAGATGATTCCTTATTGGTTTTTAAGCGTAGCTTAGTGGCTCAACTTAGTTGAGGAGTTCTATACCACCTGCAAGGTATAAGACAGTTCTGACAGCATGGGAGAGATGTTGTATCATCATGTAGCTCATAGTTATGGTTGTCGGTTAGAGAATCTTCCAAATAGAGTTAATAATTTGTTTTTATTACATCACTTAATAAGTTGAGTTCAGAGAAGAGTATGTATTTTGTAAAGTTTTAATTATATCATTTGTTTATTTCTTCACATTCAGTAGAGTATATATCAATATCTATTGCAGTCCTTTCATTTCATTATTTTTATATTCATCTATATTACATACTCATATATTTAATGTACTGATGTCATTTGACCTGCATCTTTTAATGATGTAGTTATAGGTTCTTAAGATCCTCAACAAGAGTCCGTTGAGATCATTTCGTCAAATTTTGAGTAAGGCCTCCTTGCTTCTGGAGGACTCCAGTTTTATGAGTTATTAGTAATAGTTTTGAGGTGTAGTTGGTCTTTTCCTGACACTCAACTTTATACAATAGAGGCTTCATAGATAGGCAATTTTGGAGAGTCTTTCAGTTTCAAATATTTTATTTAAAACATATGTTTCATGCTAAGTATATTCAGCAAAGTTTTGAGATTCAGTAGACTGTTTTTGAACATTTCATTTAATTTGATGCTTATGTATGCTCAAGTTAGTCTTCCGCCTGTATTCAACCAGTATGAGGGTTCGCTAGGGGACCAACAATGGTTCTTGAGTGCCGGCTATGTCCAGGATGTAGGCTCGGGTTCTGACAAACTTGGTATTAGAGCACAAAGTTCATGTGTCCTAGGGTGTCTATGAAGTCGTGTCAAGTAAGATCTTATTTATTGTTTTAGGGATTCTTTTTTATAAATGAGGGAGTGCAGACATTTAAGAAAACTTTCCCTTCTTTCATACTCTAAATCAAGCAGTAGAACTATGTCATAAGTATTCATACTCGTGCGTTTCTTAGATCCATTCGACTACCCCTCATACTCAAGGTAGTAAAGGCAAAGTCAGTTCTTTATCGATGAGTTGCTCTCAGCAAAAGTCTTGAGAAAGACATGAGACTGTAGAGGGGCTTGAGAGAAGCCCATGAGTGAGTGAAGTGTTGAGTTTTGAAAGAATGCACTCATAATCATATAAATCATGCGTTCAAGATAAAAGCGAGATGTACTCTCTTTTCTAAACTTTATTTCAGTTGAGACCCCTGTGAGGAAACGTATTTTAGAGCTTAGGTAGTAATTGCACTCAAAAAGATAATATGTGTTATTAGGTTATAAGAAGTAGTAGAAAAAGTGCCCAGAGTTGGAAGAATACATGCAGAAGTTTAGTAATCTAAGAAATGGAGATAGTGATGAGGCAAATTATTTTATGGTAGTCATGTGCCCAGTAAGTTATTAATGATGAGTATTTCCTTATAGGTAGACTAAGAAGTGATGCGTTTGTGAAGATTTCGTGATAAAAGGTAGAGTAATAGTTACTCGTAAGGATAAATTAAAATAACTTTATCTAGAAAGAAGTTTATGATGAGGTGTCAATGCATTAGTATTGGCCAAGTATATGTGTGGAATTAAATAGTAGAGTGTTCATGAGGTGATAGCTCTAAACTATGCTTATGATTCTACGGGGAAGACCATAATATTCAGAGGGTTACAAAGTAATTAGGAAATGGTGTATAACGAATGGGTAAATAGAACTTAAGTTGTGAAAAGAAGGGTGACAGTAAATTGTAAGTATAAAGACTGAGAGATAAAGATTGACTACTTGTCATGTGGTTTTAGTGGGCGAGTGTTTCATAATTCGCATTTAGTAGTTGTAAGTTAGTATAGTAAGCGAGCAGACATATAGATATCTGGGTTTAGTAATAAACATTAAGCTTGAATTTGAGATGAGAGTTGTGATAAAAAGAATGGAAACATGAGG